TTACCCCTGTAAAGTTTACTGAATATTTTGTATGGATTTTAGAATATAAATAAATATTATTAATAATATTATTAACTTAAATGAGGCTGATCTCATTGGTGGTGCACTGTATGGTGGTTGCCGTGATCCTCTTGTTTATCATGGCTATATTAATTTGTTGAATTAAAAAAATTCCTAAGTTTCTTAGAATCTATTTTTGAAAAACTGTTTTTATGCTCCCTGGACATCTTTTTATTTATTTATTTATTTATTTATTTATTTATTTTTTTTTTTTGACAGTAGGAAAGAAAAATTCGAAAACAATGTACTGAGAACCAGACTGGACCTCGGAGACACCAGCACAATAACAAATAGGACATTTGAGTCAAGATTTATAGTTGTCAGAGCAATATCTGTTTCGGACAGTGAAATGGGCCAAATCTGTATGATTTCTTTTGCATGTGAGTCCTTTTTCATATATCTTAAAGTTTTTTTAGTGGTAAGTGTATTGTTATTTTTTATCTGCCTATCCATTTGTAGTGCTCTTGTTATGATATTCTGAAATGTTTATGTCAGGGATATTCAGTAGTTAAAACAAAATTTAAATCTGTTGGATTAATAGTTGCCCCTCACAAGGCTGTTATTAGTATCTTATATTTTTTTGAAAGTCATCAGCAGTGAAAAAATAATTTTAGAGATTTATTGTCAAATGTACAATGTTATTTTTTTCAGGTTTATTATTATTATGCCTGCTTATTCTATTGTACGTAAAAGGACAACATACAACTAATCAGGTAAAGAACCTTTTTTTCTGGATACACATTACCTATGTTTTATTCCTTTCTAGTTTTCATAGTTCAATGGTTTCATGGACACTTAATACTAGTACTGGACTTTTCTGTACATCCTGCAAGAATTTTTATATACACACACTGTAAGTGTCTATGTATATTCTATTTGATCTGTCTGTCCACGCCGTTGCTTTCTCTGTTGTGGTTGTCCTTGCTGTCTGACAAATAACTGCCAAACCATTTTTTTTTTACTGACTGGCTTTGTTTTGGTAAAGAGGCAGGTTTCTTTTGAAAATCAACGTGATCAGTTTACATTGACAGCAGTTTTTCTGTTTTTTTTTGCACAATTTTGGTGACATTTGACCCATTATTTCCAAACTATTTTTATTATAAATTTACTTAGTGGCTTTGTTTGGCAAAGAAGTAGGTTGCTTGTGAAAATTGGCATGAGCAGTTTACATCTAAGAATAATTACCATAAAAGTAAACTGATCATGCAGATTTTTGAAAACAACCCGCCTTTTTACCAAACAGAGCCACTCAGTAAATTTAAAGAATAATTCTATTTTTTGCACAATTTGGTGCCCAATACCTGCCAAACTGTATTAGTGTTTTACTTTTTCTGGGTTCCATGGTGATGGCTACCTGTGCCCAGTAGATGCGGATCTGTGATCTTTTTGGCATCCTGGCACAGTGAAGAAAGACCATAATGCCCAGCCCGGCTTCTCCAGTGAAAGCTACCTTTGACATAGTTAGCAGTTTTAAAAGACACTAGTTTTTAATTGTACCACCAGCGGTACACATGGTTTTAGTCGCATCTGGATCGTTCCGCCGACTCTACCACCATGTTACTGTTACCGCTTCTCCTCCTAGACGGTAAGGGCCTCTGTACCCATCTCTTGGATTTAGGTCACCTATAATCTCAACTTGTTCCACGTAAAATTTGGGCTTTGTCGGTGCTGGGGTCTAGGTGTGGCACTCATTGCAATGCACCCTTGTCCAAAAATGTCAAAATTAAATGCTAATTATCTACCCTACGGAAGGAATTATGGGAAATATTTCTACAGACAGCTGACTGAAAGTAATATGTGGAGATTTCAAATATGCCCTTGGATTTGACCTTTGACCTTTATTTCAAGTCAAACAGGCCAAAATTTTCAAAAAAACGAAATTTTTTACGAAAAAAATATTTGCGCTGATATTCAGAAACTACACAGACTTAACCGATAATATTATTGGAAAGTTTTACCCTTCGGGTCATCTTTCATCTCTGTGAATTTGGGGTCAATCGGTGCATTTTCACGGCAGTAGCGGCCATAAGATACCAAAACTGAAAACTGTCTCTAATTTGGGAACCGTTAATGCTAGAGACCCATTCTTTTTTGCATTTTGTAGAGCATATAAAGCCCAACACTGAGGTGGTCTCCAATTTTTTTGTATTCCGTACGGTTTTCAAGTTATGCTGTATCAAAAAGTACATAGTGGTGGTGAAAGCAAAATGTGCAGTATGGTAATGGATAATAAATTTTGAACCCCAGGAAAATAAAACATAAGGCTTGGCGAGGCAGACAACTTCTGGTCAAAAATGACATTATTTCTTGAAATTTGAACATCTAGAACTTCTGAGCTCCTCCTATTTCAAGAATTTCAACCCAAATGACCTTTTCTTTATTTTAATTATTTTTTTCTGTATTATTTTATTGTAACTCCAAAATTATAACATTTAGTCCCTTATATCTTCAAAACTGGCATAGATAGGTCCATAGTTACTATTAGGGTGTATTCCCATAGATTTAGATTGATCCAGAGATTAAGATTTAGATCGACCGATAATATTATTGGAAAGTTTTACCCTTCGGGTCATCTTTCATCTCTGTGAACCCTGTGGGTTCACGCTAAATTGCAGTCAGCTGAGCACGCACCATAGTTAATTACCCCCTGACAGCTTTCAGTAGGCGGGACAGACGCTTAAGCCACCTAAACTGACAGTAATCTAGTGAGACTCCCCACAGGGATAGATCGATTTAAAATCTATGGAAATGGGGTCTTAAAGTTGAATAGGAAGTCACATACTGGCAATTTAACTGTGACCTTGGAATTGACCTTTGACCTACTTTTCACCATGAACTGAACTTTGCAAATTTTGGTTCCCTTTTATCTCCAAAACTGGCAGAGATAGATCCATAGTTACTTTTGAAGTTGAATAGGAAGTCATATACTGGTAATCTTACACTGACCTTGAAATTGACCTTTGACCTAATTTACACCATAAACTGAACTTTGCAATTTTTTATGTACAGACACAGATGTGACTGTACATATTGCCATCACCTGCGTCTGTCGTCACCGTCGCCGATGCCGATGCCGGCGCCGTGCACTTTCCTTGTAAACACGATTAGTGGAGGGCAGTTTTACTTTTTGGCTTTATATTTACAGAGCTGATGAATATTCATAAAACGCAGGTCAAGTTCGAAAATCAGCATGATCGGGCCATTATTGTAGAAGTAATGCTGTTTTTTCACTTTTCAGCATATTTTCACATTTCCTCAGATTCAATTCTTAGGCATGTTAACAGTTTCATTATTTAATTAATAAGATATGTAAAAGTGTTTGTTTGACATTTCCTGCATCTTTACAACATTGTTAGTTGATTTTGTAAAAATGATGGTAAACTTGTTATCGTGTATTGTGTAATAAAGTTTCAAAAATGGAAATAAACTCATATCATTGCAGTTTGTCAGATTCAATCATTCACTATGTTCAGAATCTCAGAATGGAGGAAATTGGACATTTAACACTATTCTATTGATATTTTTCCCATCTCATCAATTTTCTTAGTTGATCATATAAAAATGGCAGTAAACTGTTAATTTTGTTTTATGTTAAAAATTGTTGAAAATGGAAAAAAAAACATTTCAGAACAGTGCTGTCATGTTTACATTTTGGCATTTTCAAGATTTGACTTTGAAGTTCTGTGGGCCTGAAGACCTTTGCTTGTCACATTTTCTGAATATCCATGATACGTATATTTTATTATTAAAAACTGATGGTCATTATGCTGTTAAACATTTTGTAATATTGCAAAAATTTGAAAAAAACCTATTTTGGGCACTGCTCCCATGATGACCATTTAAGAAAAACCATGTCACTTACTGTTCTCAATCTTACAGGAAAGAAACATGGGACTAAAATACAGCTTCAGTAGGCAATGCAGTCTGTTTGGTAATTCTTTCTGCCAGTTAAACAGCTTTTTTGTGAAAATTTTAATTTTTCACATATTGGCATTTTCAAGGTGTGACTTTGAAGTTCCATGGGCTTGAAGACCCATGCTAGTCACATTTTCTGAAAATCCATGATACGTGTATTTTATTATTAAAAATTGACGGTCATTATGCTGTTAACCATTATGTAATATTGCATCAGAATAGAAGAAAACACAATTTTGAGTGCTGCTGCCATGATGACCATTATGGGAAAACCATGTTACTTATGATTGTCAAACTTTCAAAAAAGAAATACAGGACTAAAATGCAGCCTGAGTTGGAAAAGCAGTCTAATTGGCTTCTTTTTCTGGAAGTTATACACTATAGCTAATAAGTCCCCGGTCACTTTAATAGCACACGCTGTCTACATCAGACGCGCTAATGCGCAAGTCCCCGACAGTGTTAATGGTAGGGGGATTACGATGGACAGCCCATTTTCAAAAAAGAAATACAGGACTAAAATGCAGCCTGAGTTGGAAAAGTAGTCTAATTGGCTTCTTTTTCTGGAAGTTATACATTTTCAAAGTGTGAACTTGAACTCCCATGGGCCTGAAGCCTTATGTTTGTTACACATTTTACTTACATTGGTATTACCTGTTAAGCATAATTAAAATTTGATGTTGAATTTGCAGTTTAACATAATGTACTTTTGCATCAGAATTGACAGCCTATTTTGTGCATAGTTGTTTCCTGTTTTTTGTCTGTACATTTGACAGCTTTGCTGCCTTGTTTAAAATCTGATCTTTCATAAAGGGTAAAATTTTCAGGTAATGATCCTTAATATTTTTATATGGATCAAATATAGAAAATATATTTTCTAGTACCATTTGGCAAAATAACCCCACATAATGATGCCTACATTATATTTCCAAATAAGATATGCCTATCTGTGGAAAACAAAGACCTCCCATTTACGACAGCATCTGGTCAGGCTAACTCGTTACCACTTAACAGAGATATATGTGACTTTATGTGAAAAACATAATGAGACTGTACCTGTGTTGCATACTAAGCACCTGTCCGCCCCCATTAGGCCCCTTGTTTTTCTCCCTCTCCATCCAGCCTGCGGTGGGTTTAAGTAACCGAGAGGGATCACGCTTTACATCTACTTTGACCTACAGACATGCAATAATGAATCATTAAGATATCAAATAAAATATGCATCAATGTAGGGATTCAACTTAACAACTGACCAATAGGATTTTGCCCAGGCAGATAAATGAAAAAAATTAACTGCATACATACTCATATAGTGCTAAATTTTAGGGTTACAAGTTCATTCCCTTATTTAATTATATAAAAAGTAAAACTGGCCAAACTAAAAACCTTCCTTATTATGCATTTGCTTACTTGGCTTTTTATTCTTTCCAGTCTTTCCTTCTTCTTTTTATCAGCCTCTTCTTTTGCCTTCTCCCTTGCCAATTTTTCTTCGAGAAATTTTTGATTCTAAAGGCAAAAAAAAAAAGAATTCATAGACTATATAATTCAAAAACATGGGCACTGCTTCTAAACTAAAAAAAAAAAAACACATCTTGTATCTGACCAAAGATATAAACAAGTTATCTACTTAGCAGTAACATTTACCAATTTTAGAATTTTCACCATGGACATGATAATGGTTGATACATTTTGACCACACAAGACTACACAAAAGAGTTAAGTTTTGATTACTCTCTGTTTCAATCTTGGTAATTCCTTTGCTAATTGTTTTCTCTTAGCTTCTGCCTCTGCTTCTCTTTCAGCCATCTCTTCCAGTTTCAAAAAATCATCCACTTCATTCTTTTGTTGCTTATACTCCTGCACCATTGCTCGTAATTTTTCCTTCAAATAAAAAAGAAATTATTAATCAAAACAGCCAAAAATTATATTAACCAAGAAAGGGCAGTTTACATGAAAAATTTAAATTATAAGATGAAATAAAATATCAGTGTATAAGTAAATGATATTGTGCTTAAAATGTTCGTAAATTTCAGAACTTTACCTGACGTTCCTTTTCTCTATCCTCCTCAGCTTTTTTTGAAAGATCTTCTCTTAGTTTTCTTTCCTCTTCTTGTACCCTTTCCAACTCCTTTTGAACCTTTTACATTAAAATAAAGATCCTTTTTATCTACAACACATATTAGAATAGATAGTTATTGCTGTGCATTATTTAATATTTACATACCTCTTGGACAAAAAAATTAAATGTAACTAAAATTTTACCATTAGAATATCAGAACAAATTCACAGAATGGTATAAGATTACTTTTAAGACATTTTAATGAAAATTCTACGAACCAACTCACCTTCCAGGCATTAAGCTTTTTAAATCTATCTTCTTTCTCTTTCTCTATTTTTTCTTGAAGTTTTAACATCCTTTCATCTTCTTCACTCTCACTCTCTTCCTCAGCCTGTGCCAGTACTTCCTTTTTCTCATGCTGAAATGACATTACAACTATATACTCTACATCACAACCATTACATCCTTAGTCAGCAAGGTTACATGTACTACATACCGCTGAAATTTCATAAATTAAAATTTCCACATATGTAAATATTTATCATTGAGAAGAAACTGCTTAATGCAATATATTCTTAGTTTTCAAACAGCACGTAAAGGCTTTCACAAAAACTAAGGAAAACATGGATTATCAAGTTGCTACCTACACCCATGACTTGTTAGTCTTTTAACCTTTCATTGTAACAATACTGAAATATCTCAACATTTGATTCAAAACTCACTTCCTTCTTGATTCTCCATGACTGAATAGCATCTTTCTTCTTTTCATTTAATGAAGAATATTCTTGATACCAGTTTTCATGTTCTCTCACTTGCTGCTCTGTCTTTGTTGGTAGTGCTGGGTAAAGTTCACGAATAAAAAGAGGCTTACCCTGGAATATATAAATTTAAAATGCATTTCAAGTGAAAATAAGACAAATAAATGTGTTATTGTGATTTAAAAGCTCAAAAATTAACTTATAAATGATTACCTTGTGCTTATTTCTAAACTTCATGAATGTCTGGTGATCATATTCATCCCAGCCTCCCCTGTGACCTCCTGTTTGCTGCAGAAATCTCTGGAACACAGTAGAAGTTCTTGCTTTAAAAAGATTATCATTTCCCATTTTTTTTATCATTTTCTAATACAAACATATTCAACTCTGATATAATTCAAACAAAATAAAAAAATATATCTTACAACATTTGTAAGAGTAAGCTGTCTAATTCCTTTTAAAAAGCCCACAACTACATATGAATAATAAAAAAAAAAATACCCAACTCTAACAGTAGTTCAAAAATACCATAATTATAACAATGGTGATAATAGTTGTATATATACTTCAAAAGCTGCCACTTCAGGAGGCAAATCTTTGGTAACATCCCTGGCACTGGCTAGGGGTTTGGGTCGTGCAGATCTTGGTGTGTCCAGATTAACAGGTCCAGCTTGGGACCAGGCCTCAAATCTTTTCTCCAAAGCTTGAATTTCTTGAGTAGTAGCTTTCTCCTCACGCATGAGCTCCTCATAGCTGTAATTAGTACAACATTTACTCAATTAAACAATTTTCCTTAAAATGAATACATAAAGTAAAATTTTATGAACTAATATTTGTACTTATTTATTTATGAATGGTCAGGAATAGGCAACAAGTAATAAAAGCCTCAACACAACATTAAACACAATCTACTTCTAATTATTCTGTACCTTTTGAGGATTTCTTGTACTTACTGTATTCTTTGTTCTTCTTTAAATGCACTGATTGTTTTCTCTATGTCCTCCATTATTATTTTCAATTTTTCTACAACTAAAAAACAAGAAAAATAACTGAAAAATTCAAACAAGGAATGGAGCAATGAAGAAAAATACAGAAACTGTTCAATGTTCTCAATTATTATTATCATTGAAAGCAATGAAATAGGGCTTACATTCTGGTGTTGGTTTTACATCTTGCAGCTCATGGTGAAATTTCTTCACCATGCTTCTTATCTTATTTAGCTGTTGCTTCAATTTCACTTCTGAAAAACCATAATATGTTTCATTTACTGATACATATAATTAGTGTACTTATAATGAAACATGTCTCTTACTGCTCACAATATAAATACAAGAATGCTTACATGTAACAGTCTCCATGATGGCACGTATATTCTAATGCCCAAAGGCTAAAATGCCTCTGAATTAAAATTGCAAAACTACAAATCTATATATTTTACACATAATGATTTTCTATTCAAGAACTGAAAACAATATTCGCATACTCTCACTGGCGTGTTCATTAGTGAACTTCATATCCGCATCTTCTAGGTTGCTGAAGTCTTTTCTAAAGTCACTTCTTTTGCTGTACAGATGTGTAGACTTTTCTCTTTCCATATTTTTTATTCTGCAATGTTGCAAAACCATCAGATTAAATACTTTAAAAAGGGATATCATTTCAGTATTACAATAATATAGTTAATTGATGTTTCCAAGGATGTCTATCAACAAACATGATCAACTATAGATTGAAATGTGTTCAGTCAAAGTGTCAATCAACATACATTTGTATCAACATTGAAGGCTGAACTTTTTCACGGATTATCATAATAAAGTCTGGGAATTATTATCACATGCTATTCAGTAAAAACCTTTCATTAAATATTAAGCAGGGAATAACACAAAATATTGGGGTCAAAGCCAGATACATCATGTTAAGAAAAATGGCATACTTATTTCACTACAAATACTAACTTTGTATTAAGCTGAAGTATTTCTTTTATCAATTCCATCTTCTTGCTATGGTCACCTTTCCCGCGTGAAGAATGTGGGGATCGATCACTGTCAAGGCCCTAGACAATAGTTAAAATATATTTACATTAAAGGCCGGAGGAAGAGCATAACACAACGTTTTGATTCCTTGGTCACTATTAATCTATTTCAGGATTGAAATGTTAATGTTATAAATGAACAACAGCCAACACAAATTAAGAAAACTTGGACAAGTTCATTATTTGTCGACATTCCTCTCTGATTTTAACATAAATAAGATTTGGTTTTTGTTTATATATTTTTAAAATATATAGCCAATTTAAAGCTATTATTATTAGAAGCTTTAAAGAGAAGAATAAATGCTGATACTTACATTTCGAACTTCTGCCCCTGTGGAAGCAGCCATTTTCAAACAACTTCGCGGTAAATGGAATCTAAGGGGGTCGAATATTATTCTAGACACAATTTCATCATAAAAACAATAGATATATATTGTTTGTATTAATTTAATTATGAATAAAATAAAATATGTCCCGTAATATTGTTCTTTTATAAACAGTAGTATTTGCAGTCTATCCTTTTTTCCAATCAAAACGCTACACGTCATTAACTTCCAAGATGTCGATTAGCCGGCGAAGGCTGTGTGTTGAGGAGCTATTAAATAATCCTCCGAATACCTTTTTAGAGGCGTCTGAAATACTTCTTAAGTTTGCCAACAATGTTTTGAATGATCCAGAAAACCCCAAATATCGCTCAATTCGTGTCAGCAATCCGAAAGTGGAGCAGAAGTTACTGTTGGTCAGCGGTGGGATGGAGTGTCTGTTTGCAATGGGATTTCAGGAAGTGAGTTGTTCATTTCTGCAAAATATTTTGATGGGGTAAATACGTTTGTCGTCTGTGTATGGGGAGAGTCCGTGGGACAAAGTGGTGACTATTTCGTCAGAAAATTTAAAAAAAGGTTGTTGTTCCTTTGACAAATGGTTTTTCTTTTAAAAGGAAAACTGAAGATTAGTCCAGTCCAGGGATGGAAGTGGAATGTTGAATACAATGCAAAACCTTAAAATATAGGGGACAACACTGTACTAGTAGCAGTGCACACTTGCTCTTTGTTAGCTAAGGTATTAACTGATACACAATAATCTTTTTTGTTTATTTCTAGTCTGTATATAATTTTGTTCTATTAATTCTAATAAAGGATGGAGAATACCTCCGCCTTCCACGGAATGTCCTTCTTGATGAAATACGGAGTGTAAGAGATGAGCTTCATGAGGTGAGACAACAGCAGGTTAATCAGCAAGGAGCTGGTCAGCCTAAGCCACAGCAGCCAACACCACAGACCACTCCACTTCAGACTCCTGCCTTTGATGTAGCCCTAATGGTATGTTGTATTTTTTAATGGCTACATTTGGATACAGACTGTTCAAATATAGCTTTGATTACTTATCAGAACAACTGCTTTATTATAGAATCTACAAAACAGCATATCTTTCTAATCATATGATTTTTAAAAAATGTATAATTTGAGGAAACCATACATTTTTCCTATATTGACAAACTTTGTGTGCTCAGTTTGCTTTGTTTTGTTTTGTTTGTTAGGCCAAAGAAATGACATTCTACAGCAAGTTGAAGTCAAGCTTTGATCATGTCCTTGTATATGAAGACCCAGCCCTTCAAGCCAAAGCAAGAGACTGTATGCCTTTACAGGAAATGAGAGCTGAGGCTCAAAAGAAGTTTGATGAACTCAGTGCCCACAGCAAAGCAATGGATAAACCTGTGGAAATTGATGTGAATGACATTCTGATATTAGAACTTGTAAACTGGTACAAAGATTTTTTCAGTTGGGTCAATGCACCAAATTGCGATAGTTGTGGGGGTGCAACCCAAAATGCAGGGATGGCGGAACCAACTGCAGAGGATAGAAAATGGGGAGCTGGAAGAGTGGAGAATTACTGGTGTGGCACCTGTAGAAAGCATGTACGTTTTCCGCGTTACAATCATCCTGGGAAACTGCTGGAGACAAGGCGGGGCAGGTGTGGAGAGTATGCCAATTGTTTTACCCTCTGCTGCAGAGCTGTAGGGTTTGAGGCCAGGTATGTTTTGGACTGGACAGATCATGTCTGGACAGAGGTTTACTCTCGGTCTCAGAAGCGCTGGCTGCACTGTGACACGTGTGAGAAAGGCTGTGACAAGCCATTGCTGTATGAGGTTGGCTGGGGCAAGAAACTGACCTATGTGATAGCATTCTCAAAGGATGATATCCAGGATGTGACTTGGAGGTACACCAGGAACTTTCAGGAGATTCTCTCTCGGAGAAATGAGTGCAGGGAAAACTGGCTAGTCAATACCATCTTAGCTATGAGAAAAGAGAGGCAGAAGCACCTTCCACCTGCCAGAATACAGGAGCTGGAACACAGAACCCTGGTTGAGCTGGTAGAATTTATGACGCCAAAGAAAGAATTGAAAGAAGGGGAGGATGTTGGAAGGCAGTCAGGTTCTCTGGCATGGAGAATAGCCAGGGGTGAGGTAGGGGCACCACCAAAACTAAAGACCAACACACCTGTGATATTTAAGCTGACTGATGTTGAAAAGGAGAAAAAACTGTTTCACCTAAAATACTGCTGTGCGAGCGATACATATATCAGGGTGTCTAATGACAGTGAAGAAGTAAAAGGTTGGCAAGCTGGTGTGTTTGAAGCGGACTCCGTCTTCAGGAAGGAGGAACATGATTGGAAGATGGTGTACCTTGCCAGGCGTGAAGGTGCTGCTACAGCCTCTATCACCTGGAAAGTGGACTGCACAGGTAAGTTGGAAAAAGATGGGGGGGGGGGGGGG